TTGCTGAAATAAGTTCTGGCTATTCGTCGCAGGCACAGCCTGGATGCCTTTGGGTGGAGATAGTTCGTGTTTGGAAGAGAGAGCAGGGGGCTAGAGGAATGAAGGATGCGACGCGGACTAACGTCCGCAATGGCTCTATTTCTCTGCATGCGACGAATCGCCTATAGCCGCAATTGATAGAAAAACAAGGAGAAATTCCAGAAAAATTGATGTTGCGAAGTTGTGAAGTATTGCGCATGTTGTGCACTACACATATCAGATCACAAGAAAACTCGACTTTACCTTTTTCTTATCCTCCGTAATAATTTTGAATGCTTCCATCACTTGTTCAGTGCTGGCACCACCTCCAACATCGAGAAAATTTGCAGGTTCTCCACCATAAAGTTTGATAATGTCCATAGTAGCCATGGCCAATCCGGCACCATTCACTATAAAAAATAAGCTTTGTGTAAATTTGCGTGTTGCCCTTGCAGTGATGAGATGACAACAATTGCGCGTAATTCTAAAATTTTCTAATCACACAAAGGCTTACCCATACATCCAATATTCCCATCTAAGTGAATATAATTGATGTTTACAGCATGAGCGCGAGCCTGAAAGTCAGGGGGTTAACAACTTTTTATTTTGACCTTAACATACAAGTAGATCGAATTTGAGTGTAGTACCCTGCCCTTGCAGTGACGACAACATTTGCGCGTAAGCAACTGCCACGCTTGCTAATGCCAACAATTTGCCTGCGACTTGCGCGTATGAAGCGCAGAATACCAACTTTTGCGCGCAAATGTTGTGGGCAACGCACAATATCACACTAATTGCTAGCATCTACTAGAAAATCAATTGAAAGTCAACTCTCACTTTTTAATCAGTCATAAATATAAGACCAGCATATTTGATTTTTGATATAGTGTCATCGCGGTGTCAACAACATTTGCTCGTGAAGCGTGGTTTTAGAGCAATAAAATCAAAATTTGGTAGTGTTTGCTCCGCGGCAATTTGATTTCGCGCAGGCTTGCAATACACTAATGGTGGTTTGTTTCCGCTCTAGCGTTGTCGGCACCGCAGTGACACCATCTCGGTATCAGAATTTTAACTTTTTATACTATTGCGTATGATAACTTATGAAAATGGAATAAAGTAATTGCGGGAAAAGCTGAATTTACCTCAAGCGGATCAGCCTGCTTTGCTTCTTTCAATGCAAATAAGTCTTTTTGACGAAACTCCGCATTTGCATCCACAAACAACTTGCAATCCATACAGTAAACTATAGGAAATCCAAAAACATACAGAAGGGTAAAAATCAAATTGCAAAGGTATCGTACCATCTCCGCTGATATCTTCAGCCATAGGATTGATTTCGAGAAGTGTAGCATCGGATTTTCGAAAAAGATCGTAGAGTTTGAGTATCGTTTCAGCAGCTTGTTTTGCTGGATTGTCCTAGACATACTGAGAGGTTAGGTATTCGATGGAATTTGAATACTTGATCTTACTTCATGGATACTAATCGGAAGGTTTAATCAAGCCATTGCTAACGTGGCAGAACGTATGAATCATTCATAGCCAAGAAATTCAACGCTGAAGTTTCGGTCGTACCTTATACATCCCCAGCAGTCGTGCACGTTAAAAAATACGGTATGGGCGAAGGTTCAGAGTTATGTTTTGGCCACGAATGATCTGAACTGCCTCTTAGACAGTAACTTGATTGAAGCTTCTCTTGTCCCTTTTTACATAAAAAAACTAAAGGCATAGGACTTAACATAATTTTTCCTTAACTGACATTCGGCAGATTCCTCTTAACTTGAAAAAATTTTCTCCCACTTTTTTATTATTATGTGGATGCTTGTAGCTTTTTGACTTATGGTACATGGTCATATAGTCTCGCATACCATGGAAACCAATTTTTAAGATTTTAAGGTTTTCTTGAATCATTCTTAGAAGTTTTCCGTTTAGGGGCTAGTGTGAGGTCAAAGCTCAGACAATTGACTGGAACTTCCGCAGAACGCTTGCGGAAGTTTCGCCGGGTCACCTGCGGAAGTTCCGTAAACG